GGCCTTTTCCCCTCGTACCTTGTTCCCTGATCTGAAGCAACCCCAGGAAGACACTGAGGAATTTCAGACAGACGATATAATCCGGAAGAGGAACGGTTCCCAAACGGTTTCTGGTCTGTCATTTCAGACAGAACCGTTTTAGAACCGGTTCCCTACCGGAATATATTTGTAATTTCAGACACAAACACTTCTGTCCCGTTTAGGAAACGGGGCTGAAGCGTTTTGTCTGTCAACCGCTTCCAAGTAGTCTTCAGTTTCCTCTCCCTGTTCCGATGTGCCTTTTCCCGCCGTTTTTCGCCCGCGCGGGCAATATCCAGCTTGCTTTTTTAAAAAAACGTTCACTATATTATAGCTCTATAACGGAACAGCAGTATATCAATGCCATTGGAATGGCTGGGGGGTTTTGTTGTAGTGGTATAGCGCTATAAAGCGAACGTTCAAAAAAAAAAAAAGCCGGAGATCGCCCGCGTGGGCGAAAAACAGCCGGGAGAAAGCGGTGCAGTCTGAAATGGCAAACCGCTTCAGATCCAGCTCTTTACCGGAAGGGGAAAGCCATGTGTGAAATGGCAGCCCTATACCGGTTTACTCCATGACGGATCCAAAACGGGTTAAAAAGGGTAATGTGAAATTCCTCACTGTCTACCTCAAATCAAATCAAAATACCTGTAACGGCATAATAAAATCCATGGTGTGATAAAATATGAGCAAGAGGGTATTACAGAGATAACAAAATAAGGCTAATCCTACAGAGAGCTTGTGTCTATCTTTGACCGCTTCAGCCAAGAATTTAGCAACCAGAGCTGTGATGTCCGGATTTGTCTCATTTAATAAACGTTGTATTATTCCATTGTTGTTAATACAATGTTTGGAGTTATAGTGGAGAGGAAAGGAGTTTCTTAGGTGGACCTGGGTGCAATTGGCTGTCCAAGATGATGCGATGGAATGAATCTATCGATTTTAAAGGTCAGATACACTTCCTTTCATGGCAAGGGACTTTGTTACACTGACCAGTTAATATTTTTGAAGGAAAATATTAAATTGCGCTAATGTGAAAGCTCGATGATGAGTTTATGAAATTCTAGGTCCAGAAGCCTTTGTTTAATGATTCCAAAGATGGCAGATTCTTAAAGGGGAGAAAAAAATCAGTTGAAAAACCCAATTGTTGGGTCTTAGTTTCAATAGTTGAGAGCCAGGTGATGCTATACGAATCACTTTTTAACCCTGAAAGAACTGTCTACGTAGCTGGGAAAACCTCTGTGTATTTATATCAAGAACACTTAAGTTTTTCACAGCAGGACAAATAGCAGCTCCCCATGACTGTTTGGGACCGGGGTGTGTGTGTGTGCAGGGAGAAAGCCGTTGCTGAAACCATAACTTAGTCCATTTCTCAACACCGTGAACCCTTCATGCTGTAGTCCAGAGACCCCCAACGTGGGTGTCATGGAGCCCGCTGGCCCCTTTTCTGAAGCTCACCGAGAGTTTTTAGGGAGTGGGCGGGGCCAGGTGGGGCTTTTGCCCAGCGAGGCTTCTGATTGGCCGTTGGAGATTTGACTGGCAGTGCAGATTTTTTTGAAAGGTTGCTTTGGCAGCAGCTGCCACCCCAGCCCAAGGATCTACACCAGAAGCGTAGAAGCGTCATTTGTTACAAGGGCCAGATCTGACATAAATGTCACTATGTCCAGCCAGGCTGTGTGTGCCATAAAACGTAATGGTAATACTAGGCACCAGAGGTATAAAACTGTATAAAGGACAGCAGCTGGTAAGCTCCAAGTTGGTGTATCCTCACTGTGAGGCTCCATGGGCTGGGAAGGAGGTGCAAAAGAAAACCCACATGGGCGGACTGGAGAGCCAGCGAGACAGCACTGGGCAGATGCTCCCACACTGCTTGACTGCTGCAGACGAGGTTGTTCCACCATGGTGAAGCCACAATTGGAGTGGCTGTGCCCACCCCCCCGAACGGTCCCCTGTTCCCTCCCTTGCACTAGTTGCTCGCGGGCCACATAAGAGCCCTGGACGGACCGGTTCCGGCCCCCCGGGCCTTATGTTTGACACCCCTGATCTGCTCTGTGTTACCAAAGTTAAGCTGTGACCGTCGTTTTGTGGCCGCCTCCGCCTCCCGTGGAAGGCGTTTTGCGCCTGTGTCCACCATGTCGTGTCAGCATTCCAGATGTGCCTGTTGGTGCTCGAAAAGGTTGACGACCCCGCAGAAGTCTTTGCCTGAATTGGTCTCCCACCTTCCTGGTCAGTGAAATCTGAGAAAGCAGAGGGGACCCCCGTGCCACAGAACTCCCGACGCATCACCTGGCCAAGGCCCTCAAGGAATGAAGCCAGGTCTCCACCTTCACCACTGAGCAAGCAGACACACCCTCTGCTCCAGCCCTTTAATATATATTATAGCACCTTTTAGGAAATAAGGCTTTGCACGTTGCACTTCAACAAGAAAAGTCCCCCTTCTTCGTTGGAACGGCTGCTTTTGTTTTCACGTGAATTCTGTTTACCAGTGAAAGTGCGTTGACATTTTGAGCCCAGGAGAGAAATAACAGCCAAACAATAGCCTTGATCTGTTAGCATTCAAATAAAAATAATAAACACGAGGGCCGGTTTTGCCACCCTGTGTTGATTCAGCCGGGGCCTTTAGCCAGCCGGGGCTTGTGTGGTCGTTGTATTTGTTCTTAGACTCAGGTGAATTGCAAGACTTCATCGGCAGCACTAAGTAAAAAGCCACTTCAAATAAGAGTGTAAAAGCTGGCCTCTATTAACAAGACCCTGGGGAAGGGAGTGAAAGGGAAGGCACATAGAAAGGACGAATCGACCCTTGCATCTCTAACCCTTTTGTCTCTTTCCGTCACTCCATTCCCCCGCCTCCCCATCTCTTGAAACATCTACTAAGACGTTCTAATCACAGGTTTGAAAACACAAAAGTGCTCTCCTTCCATGTGCACGATCCGAACAGGGTGGGCAGATGTCACTAAGCCTGCAGGATTTGCCCACCGGGATTACAACCTGATTGTCAGCAGAGAGGGCTGTGTGCCCTTTTGGAGAGGTGTTTTTTTTTTTTAAAGAGCAATCCCCCCTTTCTGCCTGCCACAAAGAGCCAACAGACCGTTACCCCGCAGAGACACACAGGGGGTGTTGCCGGAGGGTGTTGCTGGTGACTTGAAGGATAGAAACACATGAGTCAATGCAGTTGCGTGCCAGAAGCTCATCACGATGTTTGCAGGGATAAGCGGTTGTGATTTATTGGGGCAAAGCAAAGGTTTCCTTATTCCTGCGAGCATAGTAACGCGCAGTCCTTGATTTCACAATATCTCTGAGACTATTTTAATGACTTGCTTCCATAATAAGATTGCATACTGAAAAGGTCTGTGGTGCATGAATCTTCTCCCCTCCCCCTCGAGGATTGTGTTTGATTAGCATGGTGTTTATTTTAGAGTCCTTTGAAAGATATTTTCATAGCGAATGCATTCCAATGTGCGTGCACCTTTCTGTAGATGCTTGGAAACACTGTCCAGGGGGGGATGACCTCACTTTGGAGCAGCTGGCACAAGAACCGCACTTTGGACCAGGAAAGAGCATATATCCTCTAGAGGGGAAGAGTCCCCAGAACCTGCAGGTGTATGATATGTGGTGGTCTAAAGCTTATTTTGGGGTCCCGAGGTCATGGAGTTGTGCAGTTCCTTCTTCAAATCTTCTTTGAAATACAGGCCTCTTGGAGGGGAACCCAAACAGAAGCTTGTGTTGCCAGAGCCAGTGTTTGGACCGGGCACCACTGTATGTCCTCTTGCAGGGGACAGTCTCCAGAGTGTGGGAATGTGTCATTTGGGGAGGTCCAAAGATTGTTTTGGGGTGCAGCCTGGCCACAGTGTCCACATGTGTGTTTGTCCTGGGGGCTTCCCCGTTTGGAGCACCTGGCATGAGAACCGGGCTTTGGACCTGGAAGCAGCATATGTCACCTCGAAGGGAAGAGTCCCCTGGACGTGGGGGTATATGATTTATGGTGGTCTGAACCTTATTTTGGGGTTCAGAGCTTTCAAACTCTCCGCAGTGTTCTTGGTTGTATTCATGAATAAGTCAAGAATAAGGAATGACTAAGGAACCTCCTTCAGCCTCCTCCTTTGGAGCCACTACAGTTGAAAGGAGGTCAATCAGGATAGTAAATAAATAAATGGAACGCAATTTAGTAGGATATATATAGACTCATGAGCTCAAGTGGTGGGTTTTTTCCTAGTAAATACAGTACTTAAGTAATGAATGCAGATCTTCCCGGTCACAGTTCTGTAATTAATTGGGCTGTAGCTACATCTCTGTGGCCTCTTCTGATTATTTCTTGTTGCTCAACAAAGTCTTTGAAGAAGCTATCAATGAGTAAGTGTTCAAAAGCTGTACTGGCAAATCTTTAAGTTATTTACTGTGTAAACCTAAACGGAGAGCTTCCCTTTTGAATGGAAACACTTAACAAAATTGAATGTTGTTCCAGTTAATGTTGGCATCAAACGCCCCCCCCCCTTCAGATACATCTAGAATGATCTAACATTAGAAGAGCATAGGGAACTAGCTAAGGAATTTATGAACAAGGAAATGACCAAATAAGCAGGGCTATTTTTGGGCAGGAACGCACAGGAACGGAGTTCTGGCTGGCTCCCGAGTTGGCCACGCCCAGCAGGAACTCGTTAGCATAATAGGCCACACCCAAAAGCAGAAACTCATTAGGATTGGCTACATTAGGGGTGTGTGGCCTAACATGCAAAGGAGTTCCTGCAACAAAAAAAGGCCCTGGGTTTTGACAACAAACAAGGTAAACAGAATAAGAAGGGAAAGGTGGGTGTGGCTGGATGACCACACTTCTGGTAACATGGGGGTGCGGCCTAATGTGATAATGAGCTGTGTCGTCGGGGGTGTGGCCTAATATGTTAATGAGTTTCTGCTGTTGGGTGTGGCCTATTATGCTAATGAGTTCCTGCTGGGCTTTTTCTATAAAAAGAGCCCTGATGAACACCATAGCATGGCTGGGTCAAAACCAGCAGATAATTCCACTTGGCAAGGTAGTGGGAGCGTTAACGCAAGAGTCCCAAACAGTTTGTCGTGTTGTCTGTCTGCTGTTTTAAAACATGTGTGTTAGTCGTGTGCTTCCGTGTCCCTGAAATCAGTTGACACTGTGACTTGTTTTGCTCTCTCTCTCTCTCTCTCTCTCTATCACTCTGCAGAAACCACCTTGAGAGTCTTCCTGAATGGGTTTGCGATAGTCGGAAGCTAGAAGTCCTTGATATGGGCCACAATCAGATTCGTGAGCTGCCTGCCCGGTGAGTCCTCGCAGACGAAAGTTACACAACCGGGAACCAGATGCACAATTGGGAACTAATTGCCGAGTCAGTGTTTGGTTTCCTTTCCTGATGGACAAGGGGGTGCTTTGATCTTCTGTTTGATGTTTCTGAACCTCCGGTCCTTCTATGCTTTCATGCGGACAAAAGCAAAACAAAACGCCCGGGTCTCTTTGATTTCCAAACAGAAGTTCTAAAGCAGCACGTGCATCGTTTCAAAGGTGCAGACCTCTTCCTTTCTAATGTTGTAATAGTTTTTACCGGCACCAAGCTGTTGACAAAAATGCACTGCTGTTCTTTTCCTTAGTTTTTTGGAGGGGCCCAAAAGGTCCGAGTGGGAGATCCTGCTCTGTGACTGCATAGCAAAAACAATCTCTGCCTGAAATATATACCGCGATGCTTAACAAATGGATTAGATGATGGATGGTCTGGGAGCAGAAGGCTGCATGAAAGCAAATTGTTCATGGCACGGTAGCTTCTCTTGCAGAGTCCTTGGTCTGTAAACATATTGCAGACGTGGGGGAGCGTCTCAAAAGAGTTCCTGTTTGGCTGCTGGTCAGATATCTGAACTGATTCTGATCAGTTCGTAGAGCAGCGGAGGGGAAAGCTGAGTGGCGAAGGTGCCATGTGGGTAGACTTCTAGGAAGAAAACAGGATCTTGTTGAGACCTGAAGATGGAAAGCAATTAAAATGAAACAGCTGCATGCGCATTAATTCTCTTGAACGATCATTCGTATTGACGAAAGGTATACCTGTCTTGTTTTGCTCTGAATGGTCATGTGCCGAACATCATAGAGATCTGTGCTTTGATGCATTATTTAATGCTCAGGTGATTTAACACACACCCCTCCCCACATGCTGAGTTTTTCAGTACATTTCCATTTTATGGGGGATAAACATCTTGCACTTTCTCTTCCTTTTTGCTCCAGTTGGTGCAGGTGAGGTTTAATGGGCTAAAACCAAATGTCTAAGAACTTGCCTGTTTCTAAAACTGGCTTAGCAGCTGCCACAGACAGCTCTGTATATATGACACGGTGTATATATATATGTGCGTGTGTGTATATGACACGGCCCATTCGGTTTACACCCCTCTTTTAGCCAGGAAAAATAGGAACCTCTCTCCTCCCTGGGGCTTCCAGCGTTTTACCGAGTGTTATGCACAGGGCTTTTTTTGTAGAAAAAGTCCAGCAGCAACTCATTCGCATATTAGGCCACACCCAGCAGCAGCAACTCATTAGCATATTAGGCCACACCCCTGAGTGCTCCACTCATTAGCCTATTAGGCCACACCCCCATGTTACCAGAAGTGTGGTCATCCAGCCACACCCACCTTTTGCTTCTTATTCTGTTTACCTTGTTTGTGGTCAAAACCCAGGGCTTTTTTTGTTGCAGGAACTCCTTTGCATGTTAGGCCACACACCCCTAATGTAGCCAATCCTAATGAGTTCCTGCTGTTGGGTGTGGCCTATTATGCTAATGAGTTCCTGCTGGGCGTGGCCAACTTGGGAGCCAGCCGGAACTCCGTTCCTGTGCGTTCCTGCCCAAAAATAACCCTGTTATGCACATGTATCCAAACCGATCTTTGAGGGCAAGAAAGTGTACTTGTCTCTTTCTGAAATGAAAGTTGCGGTTCCCTGGGGAGCACAGGCGTGAGGATTCGGTCATACTGCTGGGGCTTCCAAGCGGCAACCGGTCAGCCACTCTGTGAACAGAATGCTGGATGAGATGGGCCTTTTGGGTTTGATCCAGCATGGCTCTTCCCAGGGCTATTTTTGGGCAGGAACGCACAGGAACGGAGTTCCGGCTGGCTCCCAAGTTGGCCACGCCCAGCAGGAACTCATTAGCATAACAGGCCACACCCAACAGCAGAGACTCATTAGGATTGGCTACATTAGGGGTGTGTGGCCTAACATGCAAAGGAGTTCCTGCTACAAAAAAAGGCCCTGGGTTTTGACAACAAACAAGGTAAACAGAATAACAAGCAAAAGGTGGGTGTGGCTGGATGACCACACTTCTGGTAACATGGGGGTGCGGCCTAATGTGCTAATGAGCTGTGCTGTCAGGGGTGTGGCCCAATATGCTAATGAGTTCCTGCTGTTGGGTGTGGCCTATTATGTTAATGAGTTCCTGCTGGGCTTTTTCTGCAAAAAGAGCCCTGGCTCTTCTTACGGTCCAGGAACACTGAATTCAAAACACTATCTAAGCACTGTTTGTATGCAATCGCAGAAGCATACAAACTTGGCTGCATATTAGACTGTATGTATATGCAGTTCTTAGATAGCGTATGGCATGCTAGAGGCATTACAGCTTTCCCCCGCCAATCAGGATTGTAGTATGTGAGCACGGGTAGCGGTGTTTCGCTGCATGTCTTGCGTCATCTGTTGCAGTCTTTTTTTCACAGTTTCCCCAGCTCAGTAATTGGTTTTTTTAAAATAGATTCAGGTGGTCTGAAGCAGCAGAACAAAGTTTGAGTCCAGTGTCAATTTTAAGACCAACAAAGTTTAATTCTGGGTAGAAGCTTTCGTGTGTATGCACGCTTCTTCAGATAGGTCTCTGAAGAGGTGCGCATGCACACAAAAGTTTATATTCAGAATCAGGGCTATTTTGGGGGCCGGAACACACAGGAACGGAGTTCCAGCTGGCTTCAGAGTTGGCCACGCCAACTACAGCCAAAACCTCTGCGTGCCTGGCTACACAGGGAAGGCCTGGAGAGCGACGCCCCCCTGTGACTCCAAGGCGGGCAGGCCAGGCCTCCCAATGCCTTCCCCAGCCTGTCCAAGGGCCAGCTTGCCTGGGTTCCCTGCAGCCGCGGGGCACCCAGGCAAGCCAAGGGAAGGCATGGGGGTGTGGCCTAATAGGCCAATGACCTGTGCTGCCAGGGGTGTGGCCTATTATGCTAATGAGTTCCCTGCGGGTTTTTTCTCCCACCCCCCCCCCCCCCGCTCAGAATAAAACTTTGTTGGTCTTAAAGGTGCCACTGGACTCAAACTTCTTATTCTGACATTTCACTGGGAAAGTCTTGGATTGCAGAAATGAGAATAGCCATGATGGTATTTTCACTCAGATCTAATTTGTGTTCTTTTTTTGCAAAATAACAGCATGGTCTGAGCAGTGTTCCCTCTAAGCTGAGTTAGTGTGAGCTAGCGCACAGTTCTTTAGCCTCTGGCTCGCACATTTTTGTCTTCGCTCAGGAAGGTGGGTTCCTGAGCAGTGTTCCCTCTAAGCTGAATTAGTGTGAGCTAGCGCACAGTTCTTTAGCCTCTGGCTCGCACATTTTTGTCTTCGCTCAGGAAGGAGGGTTCCTGAGCAGTGTTCCCTCTAAGCTGAGTTAGTGTGAGCTAGCACACAGTTCTTTAGCCTCTGGCTCGCACATTTTTGTCTTCGCTCAGGAAGGAGGGCTCCAGAGCAGTGTTCCCTCTAAACTGAGTTAGTGTGAGCTGGCTTGCACATTTTTGTCTTCGCTCAGGAAGGAGGGTTCCAGAGCAGTGTTCCCTCTAAGCTGAGTGAGTGTGAGCTAGCGCACAGTTTTTTAGCCTCCGGCTCACACATTTTTGTCTTAGCTCAGGAAGGAGGGTTCCAGAGCAGTGTTCCCTCTAAGCTGAGTTAGTGTGAGCTAGCGCACAGTTCTTTAGCCTCTGGCTCGCACATTTTTGTCTTCGCTCAGGAAGGAGGGCTCCAGAGCAAACTAATTGATGCAGTATCTAAATCGCTCACTCACGACTTTAATGCCAGTAGCTCGCAAAATAGAATTTTTGCTCACAGGACTCCACGGCTTAGAGGGAGCCTTGGCCCTGAGTGGTGTTGCTCCCTCTGGCAGAGGCCGTTGCCTGCTAAATCACGTAGTGTTGGTAACGCAGTTGGTGTGAAACGAGAAATCTCTCGTTATGATCCCACCCTGTGTTTTTTGGTGATGAATAGGTACCTCCCAACAGTAAATTTAAGAGGGAAAGGACGTAAGCTGTCAGTTGTTGTTGCAACACTGAGATGATAACCGAAAGGAGAAACAAACCTAGCGGACCACGCCCGGCCTCATATGCTGGCTTTTAGTAGTAAAATCAAGTTTATCGACTTGTGTCCTCAACTGCGCAATGCAGCCAATCCTCACACTGAGACAACTGTTAATACTGGCACTCACGCAGATTGTCTGACAACATCCGTCAAGGGAAAACCTAGCCTTTTATTGATTATTTTGGCACAGCGGCCCCACTGACCCGTATTTTCTGGTCAGATAATGGGCGGATGTGCAATCCGTAATGCCAAGGAAGAGGAAGATCGTGAATTCTGTCTCTCTTTGCCTGCATTTTTCCAATATCTAAATGGGTGGAGAAAGCGTCATCTGCTGCGCTGAGTAATTTGGGGATCTGTGACTGAGAAGAAGGGTCAGCGATGGGGCAAGTGTGTCTCCTGATTAAAACTGTACAGTCACACAGAATATATAGGGCAGGTGGCAGACAAGAATAATCTTCCTCCTTTGCAAGATAATTTTTTTGTTGCATACGCCCACCTCTGCACTGGAATGGGAGAATCTAAACTCTGATTTTGCTGTGGCTCATGGGATTTCTGTTTCCAGATGTAGTTTTGTTTAGTTAAATTGGTTTGGTGGCAGATTTTTTTTTTACCTATTAATGTGTCGTGTAAATACCACCCTTTCCCTCTTTCCGTTCCCCTCCACCTCTTAGAGACAGAATTCTTGGCCACCCCATAGCATGTAAAATGCTCAGGACAGTAAAGCGGATTAGATAAATTTAATTCCCTGTAGAAGTGGAAGGGGAGGCATTATGCTAGTCTGGTATTAACCAAAAAAGAGGTGTGGGTGGTGGTGTGGGGCGGGAAGAATATGAAAGGAGAAACATTAGATTCTGAGTCGGCATTATAAACTGGGCATGTCCATTCTGGCTTTGTGGTCCAAGAGGAAGGAAGGGGTGAATCTTGTTGAATCATGGGGTGGAGATAAGAAGGAGAAAAACAAGTCTTATCACCAAACACTAAGTGAGGAAATATGGAGATGAAGCTTCCTTTAGTGGTCGTTATTTCAGAGTTGATTCCATCGACTGATAGGGCTTTTTAGTTGCGGTTCATCCTTCCCAGTAATTCGGAGGGCTGTACATGAAAGCGATTGCATACATTATGCAGTGACCCCATTTGTGTTTCTGGATTGGCCCCTTTTGAGGGAGCAGTTTGCTCAAAGCGAGCGAGCATTCTAGCAAGTGTTCCCCCCCCCCCTTGTGAAAAGGTATTTTTGGCTTGAAACTTTTTGGGCCTTAATAGTTTTCGTTTGCATCTCCTGTTTTTTTCTTTTTTCCTCCTTTAACTTCAGAAGTAACCAGACATTTCAGCTGGGCTTTCCAGCAGTGAAACTCAGAATTCTGTCCTATTGAACTGAACTGGCTAACAGTATATAGAGTCTTTCTCCTCACTGGCCAGATATATTTTTATTTTAATAAAGTAGAATTAATATAGATCTCGTCACCAAGCTGAAAGACCCTATGTAACTTGAGCTGTGGGGAAAACAAAGCATAAATCTGTAATAATCAAAGGACCCATCCATCTGTGGCATGTGTGTCTCCCCCTCAGAAACAAAAATGGGGGGTCTCAACCATGTTCGCTGGCTTCAGGATGAACATGGAAGTTGCAGTGCCGAATGTGAAGGGAATCGAAACATTGTGGCCCACATAATCCCCAGATAGAAGAATAAGAGAAGAAGAGATTGGATTTATACCCCGACCCTCACTACCCGAAGGCATCTCAGAGTGGCTCACAATCTCCTTTCCCGTCCCCTCCCCACAACAGACACCCTGTGAGGGAGGTGGGGCCCGAGAGAGCACTTTCGAGAACTATCCTTGAGAGAACAGCTCTGAGAGAACTTGTGACTTACCCAAGGTCACACCAGCAGCTGCACGTGGAGGAGTGGGGGAATCAAACCCGGTTCTCCCAGATTAGAGTCCACACTTCTAACCACTACACCAAACTGGCTCTCACACGACACATTAAGCGGTACAGAAATGACATAAGAGGATCCTACTTACAATACGCTATATAAGAACATAAGAGGAGCCATGTTGGATCAGGCCAATGGCCCATCCAGTACAACACACAGATACCCCTTACACACACACACACACACACACACACACACACACACAAACAGCCTCTTTTTTTTACACTGGAAGCCTTGGTTGTCTCTGGCAAGTATAACTCATTCGAAAATAAAGCTAGGAGCCTCAATATCTTTAAAATCTGTATATGGGAGTTGCAGTGAGCAAAACGAAGGGAATTGGTGTGTTGAGGCCCAGGTCATCGTGACACTCCCCACACGTGCGTATATACACACACACACACACACTACTTCCAGTGGAATGTGAGGTATTCTGCTTGTGGAAGGCAAAACTCCCCAGAAAATAAAGCTAGGAGTCTGAAAATTGGCTGCTAGCTTCAGGATGATGGTTGGACTGGCCGTGCCAATAATGAAAGGAATCCGGCCATCCTGGCACGGATTAGCTCCACAGTATCCCTTTGCTATTTGCAATGGAAGCACAGGTTTGCTCACAACAAGCTAGAAAAGTGCAAGCAGCGTAGACAGAGGCTGGGAAATAGCCCCTCTTGGACAAAACAACAGAGGTTTAACAAGTTCCATGCCCTGTCAGAATCTGTGTGGTGTGATGGTTACAAACCTAAGTTCAGATCCTCACCATGCTACTGGAAGCTTGCTGGGTGACCTTGGGTCTCTCACACACTCTCAGATGAACCTACCTCACAGGGTGGTTGTGAGGATAAAATGGACGAGAGGAGAACAACGTAAGCTGCTTTGGGTGCCCGCTGAGGAGAAAAGTGGGTTATGACATTTGTATTATAAAGCTGACTTGGCCTGTTAATAGAAAATCTGAAAACGAATTTTGGCTACAGTTCATCAAAGAGGAATGAGCGTTATTGCTTCAGGCGGTGTTGCCGCAGCTCTTTTGGCAGGAGGCAGAGCCACTCATTTGGTATTCCAACTAACGTAAGAGAACAGAAGAGAAGCCATGTTGGGTCAGGCCCAGGGTTCCCTCTAAGCTGAGTTAGTGTGAGCTAGCTCACCATTTTTTAGCCTCTGGCTCACAGATTTTTGTCTTAGCTCAGGAAGGAGGGCTCCAGAGCAAACTAATTGATGCAGTAGCCAAATTGCTCGCTCACAACGTTAATGCCAGCAGCTCACGAAGTAGAATATTTACTCACAGGACTCTGCAGCTTGGAGGGAACCTTGGCCAGGCCAGTGGCCCATCCAGTCCGGCACTCTGTGTCACACAGTGGCCAGAACCCAGGGGCCACCAGGAGCTCTAACTACCTGGCCGGAATCCCAGAAGCCCTCTGTCAAGGGGTCCAGAGCTGAACCCCCGTGGGCCCCCAGGGCTGTTGTGCACAAGCAACCAAACTTTTCTTTATTTAAAAAAATATATATATGAAGTTTTATTGAATTTTCTGTCAAAACAAAATATTCTACGGGCAACATGATGCTCTAAAATCATACATACAGCAGAAAAACAAGAAAAGTAGCTTAACTATTACCTCACCACTCCCGACGTCCCTCCTCCCATCCTGTGGGCCGCAGGTTCTCACGTGAAGCTAATTGTGACATTTCCAGCGCTGGCCTTGGAGATGATAAAAGCTGTGTAGGCCAAGAGACCAATTAGTAGCACCTGCAGGATGAAACAAGCCCATTACCATTCACGTTAACCCTTAAGGGGGGCATCAGGGGTGTTTTGCCTCACACCCTCCGACTGTTGCCCCCCCCCAAGCACCAAGAATACAGAGCATCACTGCCCCCGACACAGTATTCCATCTATACCTTGTGGCTAATAGCCACTGATGGACCTCTGCTCCATATGTTTATCCATACTGTTATACTGTTACATAAGATGACTGGGGATGTTGGAGGGGGGGGAGGTATTTGTGATTTTCCTGCATAAGAACATACAAGACGGCAATGTTGGATCAGGCCAAAGGCCCATCCAGTCCAACACTCTGTGTCACACAGTGGCCAGAAATACCAGGTGCCATCAGGAGGTCCACCAGTGGGGCCAGGACATTAGAAGCCCTCCCACGGTTGCCCCCCCCCAAGCACCAAGAAGACAGAGCATCCCTTGCCCCAGAGCCCCTATCTATACCTTGTGGCTAATAGCCACTGATGGACCTCTGCTCCATATGCCTATCTAATTCCCTTTTGCATTGTGCAGAGTGTTGGACTAGATGACCCTGGAGGTCCCTCCCATCTCTATGATTCTATGAATGCATGGAGCTCTGGGGTTGGTGAGTGAAAGGAGTGGGGCAGAGCCCCATGTATATTAATAAACACCGATACCGTGCCTTTCCCACAGCTCAGAGCAGCTCAGAAAAGCCCTGGAAAATAGAATAGATTTGCAGTGTTTCTTAAACACCTATAGAGACGTACCCCCAAGTGGGCTTCCCTAAGCGGGGGGGGGGGGTGTCAACTAGCAGGTGGCAGTTCTGAGGATCTCAACTGGCACGTGGGGACCTATGTGAAGAGATGGTCCTAGGGTTGCCAAGTCCGGACTTACCTGCCGGCGGGGGACTTTGGCTTTGCTCCTGGCGCACCGCATTCACGTCACAGGGAAGTGACATCATGACATAGAGTTTTCCCCTCAAATGGCTGTGGCCCCGCCCCCAGCGTGCCCGGCATCATGACGTCACTTCCTTGTGACGTGCACGCGGGGGTGGGGTTTCCCCCAGGGCCCGATTCCGCGGGGGCGGAAATCGGGCCTCCAAAGCGGGGGGAAATCCGCCCCCCGGGGGGGATTTGGCAGCCCTAGATGGTCCTTTAACCTCTGAGCCAATTTTGCCTGGCCTCTGACAGCCATTTGAGATCTGGATCGAGGTATGATGAAATTGGTTGCGATTTCATTCATGAGGGAGGGGGGACTATGTTCCAGATGAGTAGCTGCATGGCAGGAAAGATGCCTCTTTATTGCATCTGATGAGGCAGGAGCTTGTCCGTGAAAAGCTTATGCTGCGGTAAGTCCATTACTAGTCCTTAAGGTACCACAAAATGCTCCTTTTGAGATTTTTAAAAAAGGCAATTTGTTAAAAAGATTCCACACGGGCATGGCATCTTTTTAGCTTCATGCACAACTGCCCTTAGAGTGACCTAACGGATATGCTCCGTAACTGATCCCTTGTCTGCTTTGTGGCGCTGATGTTGCAACAGTTATTCCCACAGAAGAGACTGTTTGCAGTAGAGTCTTAGAGTGAATTTGCTTTAATTAGTTCTTTTGTTCTCTCCTTTTTTAAAAAAAAACACATTTAAAGGTTATTTTGCAATATCAGCTTGCGGAAGTTGCTTGCAGGACATAATCAATTAGCAAGACTGCCAGAAAGGATCGAGCGGACGCACGTGGAGGTCCTCGATGTGCAACACAACCTGCTAACGGAGCTGCCATCCAACCTTCTGCTGAAAGCTGACAGGTAATTAGACAACAAAAGTAATTTTTGGTAAAAAACCAATATCTGCTTATCATTACTCTTGCTGCTGGTTGGGGATGGGCACAGACTGGACCATGGACCTAATTTCGTCATGGACTGGGGGTCGGTTCGTGGTCAGTTTGCCCAGTCTGTGCGTTCACATTTTTAAGAGAGCACGTTTTTCTTCTGGTGGTCCTTTTGGTCTATGGGAGCAGTCCGTGGGCCAGACAACCTGGTGCCAAGGCATTAATTGTCAAGGCAACCTGTGGGGATGTTCTTGCCCTGAAAACACCAATACTGGCCCTCCAAAGCCTGAGAGGTACCTTGTTTGGTTTAGTGATTTAGTGTGCGGACTCTAATCTGGGAGAACCGGGTTTGATTCCCCACACCTCCACTTGCAGCTGCTAGATGACCTAGGGCAAGCCATGGTTCTGGCAGAGCTGTTCTCTCAAGGCCAGTTCTCTCAGAGCTCTCTCAGCCCCACCTACCTCACAGGGTGTTTGTTGTGGGGGGGGGAAAGGAGTTTGTAAGGCGCTCTGAGACTCCGAGTGAAGGGCGGGGTATAAATCCAATCTCCTCCTCCTCCTCCAATAAGAGAGCTCCCATACTGCATATATCTCCTCAGCTCACAGTCAGCTGGTTTCACTTTGCAGCAGGCAGTTAGACAGAGAAGAGAATCGAGAGACGAAGTTTAGAGGCAGAGGGTGAGACTAGGAAGGGAGTGACCTGTGGGGTTGGGGAGCGTCTGTGTGGACTCAGGGGTCTGAGCTACTACCTGTCCTCCTGCCCATGTGAGGGCAGGAGAGCAAAACTACTGGAGCTCCTCAGGGAGTGTCCCCACTCTACCTAGGAGGGAAGCTGCTGAGGACCTGCACTCTCCTGCCCAACCGCCAACAAACAGACTCAATCGACACACAGTACACCTCTCTGTGCGATGATGAGGGTGGAGGTGGGGGCCAAGGGTGCTTGTCCCAGGGGGAAGAAGCCCATCCCCACCCCCGTCCCCATGGAACAAGCCTGTCCTGCTGGGCTGCCGGGGCCCAGCTGTTCTGAGGTGTCAACAGGGGTATCAAAGGAACAGCCTCTTTCCCCCTGATATGCTTCTGGAGATGAAGTTGGAGGCAGAGGAGCTCTTAGCACTGCCAAAAAAGACTGACTCTTGAAACTGTTGGAGGAGGAGGTGATTTTGGGGGGTGGGGGTGGAGAAGCATGCAGCTTCTCTACATCCCAAGCGGCACCTGCCTCTAGTCCACCCCTTTGTTAGTCCTCCCAGCACAGCCTCCCACCTGCTCCACTGTTGGGTCCCCATTTCCAGGTGACACTCTGGCAGCATTTCCAAACCCTCCCCCAGTGACCCCTGTGTGGCAGAGTGATGGGTCTGCCATGCCCAGGGGAGGAGGGGCTTGCATCCACACCACGCGTCCATCTCCATCCTCCTCAGGAACCTGCAGAGGTACCACCCAACTCTGTTGCCTACAGAGAGTAATTCGGCCCCCCTAAATCCAATCCTTGCCAAACTTGGATGACAGGTAGAGGAGAGTCAGCTGGTGACTTGCTGCAAGTTTGGCATCTCTAGCTCATGGGAGGGGGGCATCCTAGCATGCCACAAAGTCACGAACCTCGCAAACTGTTTCATTAATTGGAAAGAACCGTGAAAGTTCGTGGTTTGTGAAAACCACAAATCTGTACGAATTCCCATTTTTTTTTGGTCTGTGCCCATCCCTACTCCTGGTAGCTGAGGTCACAACGTTTTCCTTGAATTAAAGCTGGTGACAGGCTTCATTCTTACATTTTAAAAAGCTTTTAACTTTTAGAGCTTTAGGTGTCATTTGACCTGACCTGGATAGCCCAGGCTAGCCAGATCTCAGAAGCTAAGCAGGGCTGGAATTCCAGGGGCACTACGCAGAGGCAGGCAAATGCCGACCACCTCTGAACGTCCCTTGCCTTGAGAACCCTATGTGGTCACCACAAGTCGGCTGCAACTCGACAGCCAAAAAACAAAAGAAGTAAAAGGAGCCAGTCCATAGACCTGTGCACCTCTGCGGTGTCTGGCTGGGCCACTTCTCTGGGCATGCCTCCTGATTGCACAGAACACAAACTCATTCAGGGATGCGAAGGGCCATCTCCTTTGGAAGCCAAAATCTTGCTCTATTTGCATCAGGAAAAATAGGATGAGCCACATCCCATGTAGAGAGAGAGAGCGGCAAGTGAAGCATTCACGTAGAGGTGCAACAGCCAGGCTTTTCTGTGGCTGGGGTACCCTTGGGCCACAATCCGCAGCTGACGATATCGACATTATCATTGCTCATGTTCTCTTCCCCATTGCATGCAGTTTGGGAATTTATCAAATGACACGTAGTGTTTATCTTTTCTTCCTTGAAGGTAAAGCAAAACTGTTCCCTGTTGTGTCACGTGCTGTTCTAATAGGATCTTGTTACGGATTTCAGATTAGATTGGATTTCAATATGGCTTGAATTTGAAAGCAACATAGACCTTAAGACTGGTGGTTAAGCAGATGGGAGGGGACCTGTTTGTCTGGCTCAACTATGTACGTAAGTGCTGTTAAGTTGCACCCGACTTGTGGCGACCCCAGGGAGGTGCTTTCAAGGCAGGTGAGAAGCAGAGGTGGTTGGCCATGGCTTTCCTCTGCCGAGTTTTCCTTCGTGGTCTTCCAACCAAGGACCGACCATGCTTAGCTTCCGAGATCTGACGAAGTTGGGCTCTATACCGTGCTGCCTTTCCTTCTTTATCTCAACTAGTAGAAGACTTTAAAAAAAAATTGCTCTGTTGTGGAGTCAGCTCAGTTTCTGTCTTTCTCTCATGGTTTTAGAGTTTGGGTTTAGCAACAGACTGGTGATTGCTTTCTAGGGGTCCTCTGCAGCCGTTGCTGCCTGGCCCATTAATTGCTTTCTGTACACTTCGGGGGGGGGGGGGAATAAAACCATTTGATGTAATTAGCACTGATGCGGACTTTTGCAGCTCAACTTGACTGCAAAGTTGTAATCTTCTTTAACTTATCGGCTTCGAAACATCCAGGAAAATAATCACTTCTGGAGGAGTTTCCCTCGAATTGTACATACTCAGTGTACATATGGGCTGTATAGCAGTGTTTTGCTGTACACACCAGGGGAAACCTGTGGGGTGTGATAGACTGCAGAGTTTGTTCCATTGTGGTCTTTGGTGCTGAATTAGAATGTCTGCTGTGGCATAGCGTGATTGTAGATGATTCTGATTGGTTGAGCTCCATGGGGTTCCAGCATACACAGGGAGCTCTTCAGGAGCAGGGGCTTTGCTCTGTTCTCATTATGCATGGGTCCTCTCCAATGCTCCCTCTAAGCTGCGGAGTCCTGTGAGCAAAAATTCTAGTTTATGACCTGCTGGCATGAAAGTTATGAGTGAGCGATTTGGCTGCTGCATAAATTAGTTTGCTCTGGAGCCATCCTTCCTGAGCTAAGACAAAAAAATGTGTGAGCCGTAGGTTAAAAAACTGTGAGCTGACTCACACGAACTCAGCATAGAGGGAACACGGGCGTCTCTCCTAACATTGCAGAGAATGAGACTGATCTAGGGTTGCCAAGTCTTACCTGCTGCTGCAGCGGGGGGCTCCCGGCTTGTTCCTGGAGCATGCGCGCACCGCAACCCCGTCACCCAGAAGTGACGCGACCACGCTGGGGGCGAGGCCACGACCATCCGAGGGAAAACCATAGAGTTTTCCCTCAGATGACCGTGGCCCCGCCCCCAGAGTGCCCGGCATGCCCGCATCACTTCCGGGCAACGTGCACATCATGTACTTTGGGGGTGGGGTTCCCCCTGGGACCCGATCCGCCGGCGGTGGGGAATGGGCCTCTGGGGCGGGGTTTTCCCCGCCCCCCAGGAGGACTTGGCAAGCCTAGAATGATCATTGTGTGACTCGGAGCCTCCATGTTCACCCTGAATTGCTTCTGGAGAGAGAAATGTTCATTTCCCCCTCCTGTGAAGTAACTAGGGGGAAGGGGGGGTTGCTTTTGGCCTTGGTGAGTGTTGACATGTAGTAGATTCAGTCGCACCAAGTTTTGTTTCGGCCCTCAGGAGTTCACCACTACTAAATCGGTATGGCAGAACGGCTGTTAACTTCTGTACTAGAGTCATCGTGATGTCCGGGAATCTTGGGAAACCAGCTGATCGTGGAGCCATGAAGGTCCTTTTGCACACCTCCTCGACGCCATCTGTTATCTTCTGCTTGTCTCCCCCCCCCCCCCAAAACCCCCCTCTCCTCATGCTCCAACCCCCCCCCCCCCCCAAAATATGTCTGGGTATTTCCCCCCCCCCCCCCCCAAATCATCACTGCATCCCTTTTCTTCCCCATCAGAATCAGGAAAACAGACACCCATTGTGTGTTCAGTTGGAAGCATTTCACAAATCCTTGGGGGCAATTTAAATGTCCAAACTTGGGCGTTCTAGACGGACCACTGTCCCATAAGTAGTTGTGGCAGTTCTTTGCTTCCTCTGTTTTTACTTCGCTTCCTTTTCCCAAGTTACGGAGCCCGTAAGGGCTGGTCTTATCGTTCTTCTTGAAGCTACCTTGCTTTTCAGTTTGTGGGCCATCTGTTGGTAGAACAGATGTCCTCTATCTAATCCATTGAGATAAAAACGATTCTCATTGTAGGAGGTTTAAAGAAACGGGGGGGGGGAGCGCTAGGTTTTCTAATTGAAAAACATTGTTTTGTGGAAGCGTTTTGAAATCATTTGCAACCGACTGCCTGAATTGAAATTTTAAAAGTATGGCCTGTTGCTGCCCTTCTTTCAGACAGTATAAATATTGTTTTGGAGTGACATTTGGCAGGGTGTTTTTTTAAACTCATGGGATAGCTAGTATGAGTTACAGATGGGTGTGTTGTGAATACCAGGAATTTTTCTCCCAAAGATATATTTTTTCTGTGTTCCAATTCTTGGAGCGTGCCTTAAATTATTCGTCTGCTCTGATAATACAGGGTTTGGTCATCAGGGGAGGGTATACATGTGTA